ACCACGTGGCCCTGGTCCTAGCTTCAGCCCTTCCCCTGTGACATGGCCCTTTATGGCAGTGGGGCTCTGGAAGCAGGAGGCTGGCACTGGGAGGTCTGGTGGCGGGGGCTGGCGGAGCTGAAGCTGGCTGTTCACAGCCGCTGGGGTGGGGGAGGGTGGTGCTTTTGGCAGACTGGTAACATTTTATTTGCATATTCATTATTTCATAACAAATATGCAAATAAAATGTTGCTGGTCTGCCAGAAGTTTGTGAATGGGTTTGCTGGTCCGTGCCACAAAAAAGGTTGGGAACCATTGATCCAGACAATGTTGTTTGAAAAAGTGAGATCTCTAGCGCAGTCATCCTGAACAACTGCTGGATGGGGGTAGAGCATTGGAACAGGTTGACTGTACCCCCTTGGGATAGTAGAGACTAGGAGTCAGTCAACACCCATTTTCTGGGACTTCTGGGGTATGTCTAGACTACAGGGTTTTGTCGACAGAAGTTTTGTCAACAGATACTGTCGACAAAGCTTCTGTTGACAAAGAGCGTCTAGACTACATCCAGTTCTGTCGACAAAGCAAGCCGCTTTGTCGACATAACAGCGTGGACGCAAAGGACAGTGTAGATGCAATAATGCCTTCTATCGACAGAACTCTGTTGATAAAGGCGTTATTCCTCGTAGAATGAGGTTTACATACGTCAACAAAACTGCTGAGTTTTGTCGACATTATATCGACATAACTGAAAGGCAGTGTGGACGCAGATATAGTTTTGTCAACAAAAGTCCACTTTTGTCGACAAAACCCTGTAGTCTAGACATACCCCTAGAGTGCAAGAGTAACAGACCCCTAAAGAAACAGGAGCTTGGGACCATCCTCCTCTCTCCCATCTGCTGCTGCCTCTGCACTTTGGCTGCTCTAAAAATCCCAGAAGCCTTAAAGAGATACATCACCAAATGAAGTTAATGGGTAGCAGGTTTAAAACTAATAAAAGAAAGTTCTTCACACAGCGTGTAGTCAACCTGTGGAACTCCTTGCCAGAGGAGGCTGTGAAGGCTAGGACTATAACAGAGTTTAAAGAGAAGCTAGATAATTTCGTGGAGGGTTGGTCCATAAAAGGCTATTAGCCAGGGGATAGAAATGGTGTCCCTGGCCTCTGTTTGTCAGAGGCTGGAGAAGGAGGCAGGAGACAAATCGCTTGATCATTGTCTTCGGTCCACCCTCTCTGGGGCACCTGGTGCTGGCCACTGTCGGCAGACAGGATACTGGGCTAGATGGACCTTTGGTCTGACCCAGTACGGCCGTTCTTATGTTCTAAATTAACTATTTCGAAATAAGATCTTTTGAAATAACACTGTAGTGTAGACATACCCTACCTGAGGACCTGTCCCATCATAGGTCCCTTATGTTGGGCATGTATCCTGGAAAATCATGTCATGGACCTGCCCACTGACACCTCTGCATGACCTGGGACAGAGATATTCTGTGATGTTTGGATGCGGGGGAGGAGGGAGAACTTGCTGGCTTCATTGGGTAGGAGCTGACGATGTTTAGAATGTAGAATGGGCGCTGGGAAGAGAAATCACCAAAAAGCGATTGACTAATCCCCTTGTCCCTGCAATACTTAAGGGAGGAGTCCCCCTGTTTCAAGTTAATGTAATGCAGAACTCAGAGAGACTGTCTCTTTACATCTGCACCTGGCGAATGTCACTAACGTTGAAAGTTGCACTGAGCACAAGGGGAACTTGGATTAAAACAAATCACGCGCTTTCCACAACAAAGGAACTTACAAAGAGGCACTGATCTTACAGAAGCAACTGCAGGTGGTTTCCGAGGTACCCAATGAATCAGGCTGACAGTACTGTTGCAGTCTGCGGTAATTAACTCTTGAGGTAATTAACAGCAAAGAACTAGAATCATGCCAGGACCAAATAATAAAAAACATCAAAGAAGTGATGGACCTATGTCATTACTGATCTCAGATAAAAATCACAGATCAGGCCCAGAACAGGGGGAAGAAATCAGAAACGTACTTGTGTATGCAATCTGAGACGCCTCTTTCCTTCTGTAGCATTTCACACCGGAAATTGTACCTTTGTTGTGGGGTGATTTGATGTGTCACACGTTGTTACATCTACATGGTGGCAGTAAAACTATGGGAAACCGGTACAGTTCAGTCCCTAAAGTTGTCTCTCTTTCAAAGGCCTGCTTTTAGCATTAGTCAAGCGTGTCTGTTGCCTTGGGTGAAACTTCCTTATCAGCAAGGTGCAGAAAAAGCAAGAAGGTTGGGAAATGTGTATCCTCTATATCTAAGGCTGTATGCCAAAGGGCAGGAAGCCTGACTGGTTTGAGGCAGAAAGGTCTAGTGCAATTGGTTCATGTGCCACTTGCTCAAAAAACTGGGACGTGAACAGCTGGAATGCCAAGAACACATACCTGGGTAGCCCCGGTCTAGTGGACAGGTAGGCCGGAAACCAGGATAATGTTACTCTGCTAGTTACCTACTGTGACCGATTTCCCCATTCTTGGTCTGTTTCCCCCACTCATCCTTTGTCTTGTCTGTTTGGGTGGAAAATGTTTGGGGCACAACCACTCTCTCTGCATGCATGCACAGAGCACCCTGGCTTTGGTTGGGGCTGCTATTAGTTGTATTACGGTAGCGGCTAGAGTGAGAACTCCGTGGTGGTGGTTTTCATTTGCTGAAGGGCTGGCTTTCCATTTGAACCTACTAAGATTGTGTGCTCCTTCAGGCAAGAGCATCCCTGTGTGCTGTTTGTGCAGCACCTGCCACAGTGGGGGCCTGACCTAGGAACAGGGCACCAACGCGCTACCACAATACACCTACCTAGAAAGACACTTTGTTCTTTATTCCGAGTAAATTCCCTAAATCCAATCAGTTGCATCGGGGTAGGCTCTTGTGGGTTAACTGGGTGTTGGGGAACGGTGGGAAACTGATAACAAAGCTGAGGGTGCCACTAGCAGAGGGCTTGTATGAAAATAATCTGGTTCATTTTTAGGGTGATTCACCCTATGGCATCATCACAGAAACCTTTGGGCCACATGGCTCGGTTGCCGCCGGCCCAGCCCAGGAATGTGTCATCCGGAACAGTACGTCTGTGAGAGCTAGACATTGTCAAAAGCTTAACTGGAGGCTGTTTGGGCCTGCTGCATCCACACCGGCTGTGAATAGGAATCTGTCGAGCTGGCTGATGCATCAGCCAGGGGCCGCGTGGCCACCGGGTTTCTGTTCATCTTCGCTGTTTCTTCCGCAGGGACAAGCTGGCCGAGCTGCACGGGAACATGTTTGTGGAGGAATGTGTGAAATGCGGCAAGTACGTCATCCCTCCTGCTCGAGACACGTGTGTGAGTCTCTCCACTGCCGACAGGCATTGCGAACCTGTGGTGTGTGTCCGGGGCACACGTGGCTGCTGCAGTTTTGGATTCTGTTCTATACCTGGTCTAGCGTGAGTCGAGTTTGATCTCCCCCAGGGCTTTTCTGACAGATAAGCCCATGATGCAGAGAGCCCAGGGCATGTGATATGAGCAGATCCTGGATAAATACTTAAATCTTGCCCCTCAGTGGGAGATCATTATCTCGTGTCCCTAGAAGATGCTCACAGCTCCTGTCATCAGCTCATCACGTTATATTGGTCATGCCCAGGGTTAAATATCAGTGGTCTCTCCATGTAGTTGAAGCAAAATGCAGGACAATGTAGCACTTTAAAGACTAACAAGATGGTTTATTAGATGATGAGCTTGCGTGGGCCAGACCCACTTCCTCAGATCAAAAAACAAACAAACAAAAAAAAAAAAACCTTTTTTTGATCTGAGGAAGTGGGTGTGGCCCACGAAAGCTCATCATCTAATAAACCATCTTGTTAGTCTTTAAAGTGCTACATTGTCCTGCATTTTATTTGGGCATAAGCTGTCGTGGGCTGCAGCTCCCTTCCGCGGAGAGATGAAGTGGATGCTTCAATACGGCCGAGCTTTATACATACAAAGCTTATGCCCCAATAAATGTGTTAGTCTTTAAGGTGCCACAGGGCTCCTCATTGTGTTTGCTGAAACAGACCAGCACAGCTACCTCTCTGAAAAATGATTCTCCGTATTTCTCTGCCTTTCCATCTTCCCTCCCATTACTCAATCCCACGACCTGGAATCTGGCTGGTGCTTTCTAGCATCTGTCTTATCGATGCACTTGCAGGCAAATTGCTGTGAACAGATTTTGTTTTTTGACTCGTGCCCCAAATTGCATCCTTTCTTCTTGTATCCACAGGCAGTATGTGCGGGACACCATTGTGGGCAGCATGGGCCTCAAGCCAACAGGCAGGCTGTGTGATGTCTCCAAAGCTAGAGGGCTTCGTGCCTGCCGGTATGTATCACGTAAGGACGGCCTCAGGGGAAGGGACCCTGCAGAAACTTACCATTTATGACACTCCCAGACTCCAGCATTTCCTGCTTCTGTGTCTTTGGTTTGTGTCACATGGCACCGTCCCAGCATACCCGGTAGGGCTCCTCTAGGTACTCAATGAAGGGCCCACGGCTCTCGTTTGTGTCTGTCTTAGGAGTGGTGAGTCTGCGCTCACACCCAGCTGGGTTAGCTTAAGTCTGTGAAACGCTGTCTGATGAAAAGCAGAGTCTGTGCAGGAGAAGATACAAATGGGAGCTTGGCACCCAGTTCACATCGTGTCTCAGTAGGAGTTGGGTTCCTTCCCCCCCCCCCCCATTGCTCCCTGAATACTGGTTACCCAGAGCCCTGGCTGGGTGGATTTAGTTGGGATTGGTCTTTCCTAGGGCAGGGGGCTAGACTTGACGACCTCCTGAGGTCTCTTCGAGCTCCATTATTCTATGATACAGCGAGTCCCTGTGTCTGATTATTCCTTGTCTGAGAGCAAAGCCAACCCTGTTTCCTGTTGGGTTTTTTTTTCCAGAGGAAAGTTAATCGACACTATTTTGGACTGGGAAGATTCCCTGCCTGATCGGGACCTCAGCTTGGCAGATGAAGCCTGCAGGTATTGCTTTCCACAGCACTGGGGTTTGGCTCCTGTTTGTTTAAAACCTGGTACTTCAATAAAACCTCCCTACGATAAATCATCCAACATGAAAATTCTTGCTCTCCTCTCCAAGCATCTTGCCTTCTGCTGGGCTGGATTAGGCTGTTCAGATACTTGGAATCTGACTTGCCATTCCTCCTTCACTGATCTTTTGCTCCAAGATTTTAACCCTGTCTAGCCCTTAAGAATGAATGTAGCTGGTGTGGCAGGGTGAGGCCAGAGGACTCCTGCAGAGTGGGGGAAAGGCAGCCCAAAAATGGGGAGAGACCTGCTAAATAGAAGCAGAGGGCAGCAGGGCGATTAGAAGTAGCTGGGAGGGAGCTGGCGCAGGCAGATTGGGGCCAGCTGACTCCACCGCTGGCTTGCTGAAGGCCTTTAAAAGCCTCCCCAGTTGGAAGGTGGAAGGGAGAGTGAGAGGACGGGAGGGGAGGTATAGGGGAGACAGAGCAGGAGAGCAAAAGTTTGAGAGTGAGTCATAGCGGCTTCAGCGCAGAAAGAGCAGGGGAGGGAGTCCCAGGAGGAATGGCTGGGCTCCCTACCACAGAGCCCTGCTGCAAGCCCCAACCCCTGGGGAGAAGGGCGAGATACTGGCCCAAGCAGTGGCCTGGGTAAGAGGGGCCCTTGCCACATGTGGTGTCAGGAGTGGGATGCTGCTGAGAGGCCTCACAGTGACCCTAAAACCGGTTAACTTGACCCCTCTTAAAGGAGAAGTACATATGGAGGCACTGGTGCAGGCCACCGTGGCCCAGCAAGAAGCTACCTGGGTGCAGGTGGCTGCCCAGCAAGAATCGGTGCAACTCCAGCAGGAAACAAACCAGCTCCCGATGAGCCAGGCTGCTCAGGACCGAGCCACCCTGCAGGAGGGGGCAAATCTGCCTCTGGGCAGCCAGGACCTTCAGCTGAGTCAAGATAGGACGTGGCCATTACGCACCAGTTGTTCCTTACAGAAGATGACGGGACAATGATGTGGGGGCCTCTCTTTTGGCCTTTGAAAGGACAGCCTTGCGGGAGGCCTGGCCCCAAGCTGAGCATTTTAGCCCCTTTCCTGAGTGGGGAAGCCCCGAGGTGCATTTTGACGTGGCTGAGGAAGCAGCTTCCAATTACTCCCAGGTGAAGGCTGAGATTCTGGCATGGGCAGGGGTCAGGGCAGCTGTGAGAGCCCAAAGATTCCACGAATGGAAATATCGGGAAGACAGAACCCCCCGAACCCAATTATTTGTTGTGGTCCATCTGGCCCGGAAATGGTTACAGCCCGAAATCCACAGCCCAGAGAAGATCGCATCGTCGTCCTTGACAGGTATACAAGGGGGTTACCACCGGACCTGTGGGAGTGGGCTGGGCAGAATGACCCATCTACGGTCGATGATTTAGTAGCCCTCGTGAGAGGCGGTTGACTGCCAAGGAGCTTTTCTCGACTTCCTCGGGAGGCGGTGCGTCGGAACACGGGGCCCTCGCTCCAAGGGTCCATGCTCCCGAAGCCCCAGACCGAGCACGGACAAAGAGAAAGGAGGCAGAGGAACGACTAGAGGTTACAAAGGGATTTAGAGGCTGGGGTAGAGAGTGCCAGGGGGCAAGGCCCAACAGCCCAAAGAAAAGGGGGGATATAGGTATTACGCCTGCAGGGAAATGGGGCATATAGCAGCGCAGTGCCCTAATATAGAAAAGCCCATGCAATGTGACCTAGGAAACCTGCGAGGCCCCTATGCCCTGATCAACCTTGCAGGCATTGCAGTAGCCCCCCATCAGTACACCCGGCCAGTGAAAATGAATGGGGTAGAAATCACCATGTTAGTGGACTCGGGGAGCGCGGTTATGTTGGTCTCGGGGAAGCTAGTGGGGCAGGACCAGCTGACCTGAGCCAAGTGCACTGGGATTTCTGGTGTGCGTGGGGATGTTAATTATTACCCCACCATCCCTGGGAAGAGAGAAGTTCAAGGAAGTCTCTCAAGTGTGACAGTGTGAAGGCTTCTCTATCCAGTGGTCATAGGACGAGACTTCCCCAGGTTTAACGACCTGCTACCGCAGGACTGAGCAGAAAAAGGTAACTCTCTCCCGATCTTCCATGAATTTTCCCAGGACCTGTTCCCTGTGCTGGGGCGCCCCCAGAAGATGAGGCGGGAAGGAAGGGCCGCTAAGAGGTTGGGGACAAGAATCTTGGCTCAAAATCTGAAGCAGGAGCTTGCGGGGGGTGGGAGCCCATCTGACTACTCGGAGGGAAACCCTGGAAGTAGATGAGCCAGAAGCAGGAGCCAGCTCATCACGGGAGGGAACAGAGAGGCCCCCTTGAGCTTAGACATGTTAGACCCTCACGGGAAGCTTTTGGACAGGATCAAGCCAACGACCCAGTCTATCAAAATGTCCATAAGAAGGTGGTCAAGGTTAATGGGGTCCCCATGGAGGGAAGGAGCAAGGGTACTGGGCCTTATTATATAATTAAGGGGGATCTGCTATATAGAGTAGCTCGTATAGAGGACCAAGAGGTGAAACAAGTCTTGGTATCTCAAAGGCACCGGAGGGTGGTACTGGAGGAAACACACAGTCATTTGTTTGGGGGGCATGTGAGGGTAGGCAAGACCCTGGACTACAGTCTATGGAGGTTCTTTTGGCCAGGAATCTACATGGAAGTCTGGAGATATTGTGCTGCCTGTCCTAAATGCCAGTTACACGGGCCCCGACCGCACCTGAGGGCCCCGTTGGTACCCTACCAATCATTGAAGTCCCCTTCGAGAGGATTGTTGTGGACATAATTGGGCCGCTAGAGAAGTCTGTGTGAGGCCATCAGAACATACTAGATGTTTTGGACTATGGCACCCGGTACCCAGAGGCAGCGCACCTACGCAATACCCTGTCCAAAACACTAGAGAGAGCTAATCCAAATTTTCTCTAGGGTTGGGATACCCAAAGAAATCCTAACGGATCAAGGGCCCCCCTTTGTGTCCAAGCTCGTGAAGGACTTACGTACCCTGCTCCACATACAGGCCCTGAGGACGTCTGTCTGTCATCCCCAAACTGATGGCCTCATCGAGTGGTTTAACAGGACTCTGAAAAATATGCTCCAGGAAGTGGTAAACCGGGACAGCAAAGACTGGGATACTCTGCTGCCATTTCTCAGGTTTGCCGTAAGGGAAGTCCCTCAAGCGTCTACTGGATTCTTTCTGGTGGAGCTTTTGTATGGGAGTAACCCACAGGGTATTCTGGACCTCGCCGAAGAGGTGTGGGAGGAGCAGCCCAACCCAAGGAAGAGCATCATTGATCATGTGCTCCAGAGGAGGGACAGGACAGCCAGAGTCACCCCCGTAGTGCGAGAACATTTAGAGAAGGCGCAGGAGGTCCAACAGGCCTATTACAACTGTCAAGCGACTCCCCGAAAGTTCCAAGTGGGAGACTGGGTGACGGTGTTGGTGCCAACGGCCGAGAGTAAACGCCTAGCCAGGTGGCAGGGGCCATATGAAGTGATACAAGCCGCTGGCAAGGTGGATGACAAGGTTCGCCAGCCTGACAAGCGGAAGCCGGAGCAAATATGTCATCTCAATTTGTTGAAACCCTGGCAAGACAGAGAAGTGCAATTGGTTGCTCTGGGAGCACCACCCCAAGAGGAGAACTCACAAAGGCAGCTGGGGATTTCCCCTGAATTGACCCTGGACCAACGGGCAGAAGTAACTGATATGATTGAGAGAAATCATGATGTGTGTTCTGCAGAGCCTGGGAAAACAACTGAGACATCGTCACCAATCCAGGAGTGAAGGTGAACAGTAAGCCCTACCGAATACCCGAGGCAAAGCGAGGGGAGCTCCAAGTTGAGGTTAAGAAAATGCTGGAACTCAGAGCCATTGAGGAGTCATGTAGCCAGTGGTCCAGTCCTATTGCTTTGGTGCCCAAGCCCGATGGAAGCCTACGGTTTTGCAGTGACTTCCGAAAGTTGACCGAGGTGTCCAGATGTGATGCCTACCCTATGCCATGGGTAGATGAGCTAATCAACTAACTGGGGAAGGCCCCATCTCTGTCCACCCTTGACTTGACCAAGGGCTACTGGCAGATCCCTTTGGCCCCAGAAGCCAAAGGAAAGACGGCCTTTTCAACTCCAGAGGGCCTCTTCCTGTATACGGTCTTCCCCTTTGACCTGCATGGGGCCCCCGCAACACTCCAAAGGCTTACGGACAAGCTATTACGCCCGCATGCCAAGTATGCGGCCACCTATTTAGATGATGTTGTTGTCCACAGCCCAGATCGGGATACACACCTGGAGAAGGTGGAGGCTGTGTTGGAGACCCTGAGGAGAGCCGGCCTTACGGCAGATCCCACTAAGCATGCGATTGAGCTAGCCGAAGCTAAATACCATGAATATATTGTAGGAAGGGGCATAGTGAGGCTCCAACTCAACAAAGTGGAAGCAATGCGAATTGGCTGCAACCAACCAGGAAGAAGCAGGTCAGGGCATTTCTAGGACTGGTTGGATATTTCTGCGGGTTCATTCGCCACTTCGCTTCCAGGGCTTACCCCTTCGCTGACCTGACCAGAGTCTGCGGCCCCGACAGCGTAAAATGGACCACTGCAGCGGAAGAAGCTTTTACGGATCTGTAGTGACCCAGTCCTCCGAGCCCCTGCTTTTAAAAAGGCGTTTATCCTGCAGCCTGATGCCTCGGAAGTGGGGTTAGGAGCAGTGTTGTTACAAATGGTTGGGGAGGAAGAACGTCCGGTCTTATACCTCAACAGCCAGCTCCTGCTGAGGGAAGAAGAGTGTCGTAGCAGAGAGGGAATGCCTTGCAGTAGCATGGGCTGTGGAAAGCCTACGCTACCACCTGCTCCGGCGAAGGTTTACCCTGGTCACTGATCATGCACCCCTGCGATGGATGCACCGGAACAAGGACAGGAACGCGAGGGTAAGCAGGTGGTTCCTGTCCCTGCAGCCCTCCTTCTTCTGGGTGCAACATAGATGGGGAGCCCAGCATGGAAACGCAGACAACTTGTCAAGGGTGCACTGTTTCCCGACGCAAGTAGCCCAACCCCGTGGTGTTGAGCAGGGGCGGGGGAGGTGTGGCAGGGTCAGGCCAGAGGGCTCCTGTAGAGCAGGGGAAGGGCAGCCCCAAAAGGGGGAAAGACCTGCGAAATAGGAGCAGAGGCCAGCAGGGCGATTAGAAGCAGCGGGGAGGGAGCTGGCGCAGGCAGATTGGGGCCAGCTGACTCCACCGCCGGCTTGCTGAAGGCCTTTAAAAGCCTCCCCCGTTGGAAGGTGGAGGGGAGAGTGAGAGGACGGGAGGGGAGGCATGGGGGAGACTGAGAGCAGGAGAGCAAACGTTTGCGAGTGAGTCCTCGCAAAGAGCAGGGGAGGGAGTCCCAGGAGGAATGGCTGGGCTCCCTACCACAGAGCCCTGCTGCAAGCCCCAGCCCGCGGGGAAAGGGGGAGAGACTGGCCCAAGCAGTGGCCTGGGTAAGAGGGGCCCTTGCCACACTGGCCAGAATTATAAATTGTAGCGGACGCTTGTGAGTATTAGACTCCAGGGGTGAAAGGAGAGTAAAGTGCATCCCAAAGCCAGGGATGGGGAGCCTACAGCCGGCAGACTGGATCCAGGCTCAGGCTTGCCTGGATCTGGCCCGCATGAGGCTTGGGGCTTTCCCCCGTAGCGGGGCGAACCAGCACTGGCCCTCCAGCCCTGTAGCGAAGCCTAAGCCTCAGAGATCGTGCTGACTCCCTGCCGCAGATGGAAGCAGCGGGGAGCTGGCGTTAAAGCCCCTATGGGGATGCTCTGTCCCTGTGCTCGCCTGCAGGCTCCACCCCCGCCGCCGAGAATCGTGGCCAATGGGAGCAACAGGCGGCAGTGCCTGCAAGCGCAGGGAGGTGAGGAGCCATCTGTCCCCCCCCCCCAAATGGTAGCAGCTCCCAATCCCCTGCTCCCTCCCGCACCCCAACCCCAATCCTACACCCTCCCTGCCTCCTACCCCCTGAGCCCAGGTGCTTGTGGTATTGCTCAGGAGCAGGGTCGGGGAAAAACGTGGCCTGCAGGCCGGATCCAGCCCACCACGCCACTGGATCTGGCCCACGGGTGCAGGAGGAGGCTTTCTGCCTGCCCCACCCCTACATGCTGCTCAGAAAAGCCTGCTACAGGGCTCTGTTTTGTCTGTGGACAGCTGGGAGTCCAGGGGAGGGAGGACAGGCCCTGTCCATGGCGGGCACCCTGCAGGAGGGGAGCTGATTCTATTTGCAGGCACACCGTTTGGGGCGATGCTCACCTAGTAACGGTTCACATCCCTAGCAGTCATCAGTGGCACATGAATACGTGGCTGCCTCGCTGGTGTCCCAGTGTAAAGGGACAGAGCGTGGAAGGAAATGAAAGGACGTTTACTTGGCGTTGCTGGGGGGGTGGATGGATATTTACTAGACTTTCCAAGGCCTGGTTTGTTGTTGGTTTTTTACCGGGGCAGTGACCAGGGCCCCGTTGCGCTAGGTGCGGTACAAACAAAGAACGCAGAGGCTCCTCGCCCCCAAGAGCTGCCAGTCATAAATCAAGTCTGCTGAGCATCACTCTGAACGGGGTTTTATTCGCTGATTTTACTAGGGATGTTGAAATGAGGTTAATTGACTAGTCCTTAGGCACTTCCGCATTCCTCCTTTGAAATGTACAAGAGCCCCAGTGGGAACTCTGCATACAGCCTGGGGCCAGTGGGAAGTCCCCCTGACTCTGGGCTGCACACGAGTGCCTGCTTTGAAATGTACAAGAGTCCCCAGCAGGGGCTCTTGTGCATTTCAAAGCCATGGAGCCCGGGGTCAGCTGGGAACTCCCCAGCTGACTCCGGGCTCCACTGCCCCTTTGAAACGCCACCTCTGCATGTTTCAAAGGGGCAGCCGTGGAGGCCCGGGGGCAGCTGGGGACTCCACGGCTGGCCCTTTGAAACGCGCAAAGGTGAGATTTTAAAGGGGGAGGCCGCC